CTGTGCTGTGAGAGGACGACATGGTCTACGATGGTTTCAGAGCTCACTGCCCTTTGTGTGTGGTTTTTGCCTTCAGAGAATTTTTCATTTTCCTATCTTCCAAGCTCTTCTGTTGATTTAAAAGAAAATCTTACGCATTTTTTCCTTGCATTTTTGAGTGTGTTGTATCCAGTGCATAGTGATCTCTAGTGTACTTTGTTGCTAGGAACAGAGGTCTATGATGTATTTATTTCCATACATTTTGCTAAACATCCCACCCATTTGGGATGGGATTTCATAGAAATACATGTCTTTTAGCTAGCATGGAGTTTGAAATGTAAAATTGAGTTTATGCACTGGGCTTTATTTATTTATTTATTTATTTATTTATTTATTTATTTTTGAGACAGTGTCTCACTCTCTTGCCTGGGCTAGAGTGCCGTGGTGTCAGCCTAGCTCACAGCAACCTCAAACTCCTGGGCTGAGGCGATCCTCCTGCCTGAGCCTCCCAGGTACCTGAGATTACAGGCACATGCCACCATGCCCGGCTAATTTTTCTATTTTTAGTAGAAACAGGGTCTTGCTCTTGCTCATGCTGATCTCGAACTCCTGAGCTCAAGCAGTCCTCCCGCCTCGGCCTCCCAGAGTGCTAGGACTACAGGAGTGAGCCACCACACCCTGCCCTTATGTACTGGGTTTTAAAGTATTTTTTTTTTTTTCATTTGTAGAAAGAGGAATGCCTTAGCTATGTTTCTAATTTTAAGGAAATCTATACCTCATTTTATTAGCTTAGCTAGAGTTAGATCGCTAATGTCTTCATTATGGGTAATCTTGATAAAGTTGGTGGGCACATTTAATTTTAAGTGAACACATTTCTTATAGTTATGTTTTAACCAATATTTCCTATGATAAATATTCTTAGCCTCAAGGTTATAAGTTGATAATCTTTGGAAATATTAAAACAAAACTTTCAATATTGCAGAGAAGCACTTTGTCTTTCTGAGCAAATAGTCTAAGACAGAAACTCAAATTTTACTTAATGTTTATGGCAATCGGTATGTACATATTTCCAATCTTTTCCTCATCTAACAAGAACTAACAGCTGCCTGATGCTTCTTCTAAAAGCCCTGTGTGTCAAGTTTCTTATTCTTTCAAGAGTTTCCCCATTAAATGTCTTTGTAGAGTAGCCCTATGTTCTAGCCAAGTCTCAGTTAAAGAATATTAGGCTTATAGTTATCTGTTTCCATGGAAGAAGTAGGTATATTAAAAAACTCCTTCTGGGAGGGGAAAAAAATAAAACCCATATAGGTTAAGGCAGCTAGAAGTCAAAACTCTAAGGCAGATATAGGCCTGAATGGTAGACACTCTGAGAAATTACAAGATACTTGTTTCAATAAATCTTACCTCCATTTCTTTCAGAGATTCATGTCAGTGAATTGTTAGAAGCAAAGGAGAATGCCATAATAATTCTAAAATCTTATTTACCTTAATTACATTTGGTTGACATTTTTATTTCATAAATAATTTCTCTCCCAAACCGGAGAAATTTGCCCTCAACATTGGTTTCCAAGTTCTTTCAATTGCCTGTGGGCAACCTAATGCTTGAGGGTTCATATACAAGGTCAGCGTGTGTGTGTTCTTCTTTTGCAATACACTTAGCACAGTGCTCGGTGCTGGTGCTGGTACTGAAGATGGACTGTTGTGGGGCTGAAAGCTGTAAAAGACTGCCTCTTTTATGATTCAAAAATGTGCATCCTTGTTGAGGCAACAACACAAACAAACGAAACAAAATAGACGGGCTCTTAAACATCAATGTGCATACGCATCGGCTATCATGTATATAAAATGCAGATTCCCAGGCCTCTGCTATGAGAGATTCAGTAGATTTCATTTTTGAAAACAGTCTGGATAATTTGTTTTGAGCAATACTAGAATTGGAGATTATAATCAATGGTATTATGTGACAATATGGGAGAGGAAGAAAGCAAGAGCTTTGATGGGAGTTAGTCTTGGGTGAATAATTACCCAAGTGATTGGTAAAATATACCGATGCCCAGGTCTCCTCTCTAGAGATTCTGATTACATTGGCCTGGGGTAAATCCCAGGCATTTTAAAAAATAATGTGCAGACAAGGTTGAGAATTCATTGTCCCGGGATTTAACTTCATTTCCTAAACATTGTGATTTGGCATCACCGATGATATATCTCTGTCCTTCACAGGTGTTTGTTCTCCATGGGAATAAGTCACCACTCCAGGGTTACTCGTTTCCTGATGTTGATTAAAACAGTGTGATCATTACTGGGAAATATTTTGTTCTCATTAGATGGCAGCCATCTTTTCCTGAACTAGTCCTGCATTCCAAATGATTTTGCTTCTGTGACCAAATTATACAGCCATTGGCATCAGATTGGCTTAGTAAAATTAATGAAAACATAATTAAGCAAGCTTTCCTCAGCTGTGCCACTGAAGGGTCCTTATAAATTTTTTAAGAAATAAAGTAGTAACGTAAATTAAGAGAATGATTGCTTGGACTGCCAGTTAGTCTTTTCAATTAAACTTAAATTATACTTCTAATGAAGGGGATCATTAGTGATGATTTCAAGTTAGAAAGCAATACTCAAAGAATGAGCTTTGATCTTAGAGATGGAGTTCCAAAATCTGACTTTGCAGTAGTAGATAGATAATTGTGGAGAGGATAGTAACTTTTCTAAGCCTGAGTTTCCTCATGTATTGAATGAGAATAATAATACTTACATGCAGTGGTATGCTGGGAAAGACATAACAACCGGCCCCTCAGAGAGGGGGCTGATTTGTGGCATTTGCCAATTTCTGAGGTGTAAATATTCCCATCATGGCAGACTTCAAGTTATCAACAGAACTGGCTCACGAAATTCCTAAAAATTTAACAATGGGCTCTTGTGAGTACTTCTGTTACTGACATATTATAGTGATAAGATAATGTGTAGGATGTCTAACTCAGTGTTTGACCCAGATGTGCTAAATATGTAGAGCATTCTCTAATTCTATAGTTTTAAAAGTTTTAATTATTATAATATTAAAGATATAATTGCTAACCATTTGAAAAAGCAGATGCTTTATATGGCAAAAAAGAATAGTATTGTTTTGTTAATCTGAGCTAGAAATGGATGTGTGTTCCTCAAAGCTTGATTGCTCCTAAACTCACTGTGTTTTCCATTATGAGTCCTTGAAAATCTATATTTACATATTTAGGAGTTATTAGATCTGTGTGAAGATCTGCTTACGAGTATTTACTAAGCACATACTGAATCCTCAGCACTATGCTATGTACTGTGGACTATGCTGGTAACTTCTTTGGAAAGCAAGATTTGCATATGTAAAAGTCTTATATTATCTTTAGCACTTTTCCACTCTCTTCTCAATGCCCTGGTCTCCACTGTTGGCATCCAATGGCTATCCTTGCCTGTTTTCTGTTCTCCTACAGTCACTTCTTTTAGGAGCACTTTTTTTTTTCTGCTAAGGGACACCACTAGAAAGATAATGGTTAATCTGACACAAGAGGATGTGGACATGGGAGCTTAGTTGGAAGCCAGATATTTATGGGCTTATTCTCTCTCACCCTGGGCTTATTCCCACGGTTCTTACCATATACTCTAAAGAAAGTCCAAACTCTTACAAAAGCATAGCCCCGTAAAATCTAGTCCCTAACTACTACTCCAATAATAACACGAGGCGTCCTCAAACTATGGCCTGTGGGCCACATGCGGGTGTTTTTGCCCATTTATTTTTTTACTTCAAAATAAGATATGTGCAGTGTGCATAGGAATTTGTTCATAGTTTTTTTTTAAAATTATAGTCCGGCCCTCCAATGGTCTGAGGGACAGTGAACTAGCGCCCTGTTTAAAAAGTTTGAAGACCCTTGAATAACACCAGCTTGCATTTATTTTGTGCTCACTAGGAGCCAGAGGTTACCTTATGTGCTGACCTGAATTAAGCCATGTAATTCTCAAAACAAAGCTTTGCAGTTTTAATCCTGCTTTACAGATGAGGAAACTAAGACATTAGTGTAAATTCCTTGTCTGAGGTCATACTAGTCCAAAGTGACAGGGATGAGATTTACATATAGGCAGTCTAGTATGGACTTGTTTCTTAAAGGACATGCAGTAAGTATAATCGGTGTTCTGAACATGGCCAAACTTGTTACCAACAGGGCAGGTAGTGTAGCCCTCCCATGGGGAGGGGCACCGGGGAAGGACTAGGAGAGATGGGCTGAGAACATTGTCCACAAATGGTCCAGGAAATGGCAGAAAAAGCACTGAAAAAGAGAAGAGAAGATGAAGATGGAGTTTCTCTACCTTACAGCTATGGAAGGTATATTCCAACTCATCCAGACCACATGCAGTTGTCTGTCTCACCACTGCAATCCATTTTTAAATTAACTTTTGTGGGAGACTAGAATATTCCATCCCAAAATATGAAGGATTGCTGAGCTGAAGGTAATTAAGAATAAGCAGATGCAGGAAAGCTCTGTGCCCTCCACTTGCAGGTTTAGCTTTTGTAGATAATGCCAAATATTTTTCAAAATACGTTACTAAGTTACACTCCTACCAGCAGCCTGTGAGAGTTCCAGCTGGTGCAGAGTTGTATTCTCATTGTTTTTCCTTCTGGTGGGTGTGCTTTGATAGTTCATGGTGGATTTAATTTGCAGTTCCTGCATAAGGAATGAAGTTGAGTACCATTGTTTATTGGCCACTTGGATATCCATTTTTGTGAAGTGGCTGTTTACTACGCTTTTTGTCCATTTTTAATTAGGTTGTCTGCCTTTTTTCTATTGATTTGTAAGAGTTTTGAAAATGCATTTCATCATTCTATTTGTGGTGATTTGTAAACCTATATGTAATTAGCTAAATACAGTTTTTTCATATCTAATGCTAAAAATAGTATTTAATACCTTATCATTATTATTATTATTATTATTTGCTAGAAAGTCTTTTGTTAACCACTACTGCTGCTCTGCAGGCCTGTTTCAGGCAGGATCCAGTCATCCACAGGACCAAGGGGTGGGAGTGTTGGGAACAGATGACTTTGTGTACCACAGATAATGGTATGAAGTGACTGTTAATAGATAAGGTATAAGCACAGCAGTTGAAGACAACTCCTCCAGCTCTTCTGTTATTAAATTCTTAGGAGCTTGGATGCTTGAAAGGTTGAGACATTCTAAAGAATGTTATTAAAAGGAGGAGAGTGGAAGGTGTCAAAAACACAGAGTTCTTTGTAGATGCTGACTGGCTTACTTTGTCCCCAGGTTCATTTTAGAGCTCAAGCAAATCAAGACATGAGACAGAGACACTACACTTGTGTCAGGGGCAAAAATTTCTGGTAGTAGCTCTTGGTGACGTCGATCATCAGCTCCTGAGTACAGTCGGGAAGCTTCCCTGAGAAGAGTCCTGGGCAGCCTGAGAAGACAGTGAATGGTGGGACCCCAGTTTCTGGAGGTAATACTGTGTTGTCAAGAATTTTGCAGCAGTCTTTTAACACACACTGGTGCCCAATCACACAGTTCTTGCCAACATGAACGTAGGAACCAATCTGAGCTGCGTTGACCACACAATCTTCCTCAATAAAGACATGGTCCCCAATATGTAATGGAAAGAATGCAATGCCTTTACTGAATTTCTTGAATGGTGGCCTTATGACACTACGACTCTTCTCAACACAATGGCGTCCAACTCTTAAATTTGCCAGATCCCCTCGGATAATGCAGTCATTTATCACAATGGTCTTGCCACTAAGAACGATGTTCTGGCTTCCACACAGCTCTGACTGGCAGCTAACTTTGTTCCCAGATGCCGTCTCCATGTACTCGGACTTGTTGTAGAGCAGCTCACCCAACTCCCTGGCCACCACCTCCCTTCTGCAGCTCTGGATCCTGTCAGAGTCTGTCATGTGGTCTGTCTGAGATGCCGGCTACTTCCTTACCTTATTCATTTTTGAAAAAAGTAGCTGCTTATTTTTAAAATTGTTGTGTCTGCAGCAGTTTGGTTCCAGACTTGCCTATTTTGTGGATATGGCATTCCTGTGCTCAGTATGATGGCAAGGTAGTTATTCTAGAAAAGAGCATGCTTGTCTGCCTGCCCTCCCTCTCTTCCTTTCTTTCTCCCTTCATTCCTTCTCCCTCTCTTTTCCCTCTTTCTTTTTTTCTCCCTTGCTCCCTCCCTTCTTTCATTCCCTCTCCTCCTTTCTTCCTTCCCACAATAGTTTACCTTTATGTAGAAACTTTGTACTTAGTTTCTTTTTGAAAGTTTGTTCTCAGTCCATAGACTGCAAACTCTTTTCTAAGAACATTGCATAAATAGCTGGGACTCAAGTTTGTGTCCATAGCCATATCAGAATGACCTTATGATGTTGCTTTCTGAGTGTTATCTTTCACAAGAGTCACTTAAAACTATTTTTAAAATTCATATGAGAAAAATAGAAAGAGATATATGCTCTTTCAAATATATGCTCATTATAGAATTTCAAATGAATCATGTAATACAAAAAGAACATTGATAAGACACAGAATAACAAATAATGCTTTTCCTTCCTACGCAGATATACTCAATAAAGGACACCTGATACATGAACATTTAGAACCACATAAAAGATAAATGCCCTTCATTTCAACAGCATTCTCTGGATTACAAAAGGATGCACAATAATTCTCGCATTGCTCTTTTGCACCTCTGTGTTCATTTTGCTTATTCTGTTTCATCTGTCTTTTCACATGGCAATTTCCCCATCTATGCTTAAAACATAATTTTATTTACAGAAAGTGATTTATATATAAACTTTATAGCAAAACATTACATCAAATAGACTCTATCTATCTGTAGGGAAAAAAAAAAAGAACACTTCTCAGACGTCACCAGGAGGGAAGTTTAAGAGCTTTATCTCAGTGGTGGCAATGGATTTGCACTGATGGCTCCATTTTCCCAACTCTGGTGTCATGCAATGTGGGCAAAATGGCAGAGGGTCAACAGAATTCCACTGTCCCTTCTAGGCTAAATCCATGTCTTTTTATTGCTGGGCTCTAACTTAATGGGGAAAAAAAGCCACATTGCAAATGGAAAATACAATCTAATGCTTAATTTGCTAAAAGAAATGGCCTGAGGTAAAAGATGCTAAAGGTGTCTGCACAATTTTAAACCTCACATTCTAATAGAGAATATAGAAGAAACACAAAGCCACTTGGAATTATGGAATGTCAGTGAGAATGCACGATTTGATTGACAAACTTTGTTCTAAAATGGAATAGAGAAATGGGGTAGCGGGGTAGGGAGAGGAGATGAAGAGTCAAGAAATGATTGCTTTAAGGTAGGAGGAATAACAGCATATCGGTATGTCAGTAGGAATGACCTACTAGAAAGGGAAATGTTGACGATGTGGAAGAGAAAAGAAAAAATTGCTGGAGTGACTTCCTTGGAGGTAGGATCCTGGCACAGGAGAGGGGCGCAGAGAGCATGTTCCAAACATATAGAAGGAATGAATGACTTCCCACTGAGCAGATTTATTTTCATTTCTATTTTTAGCATTATATGAAATCACAATGTGGTATAGTGATCAAAAGCAGAATCTTGGGAATTTAAGAGATCCAGATTTGAGTACAACTCTGGAGATGTCTTGGGCCGTTTACTTAGACTCTCTATGCCACAGTTAACCCACATACAAAGTAGACACAATAATACTATCTCTCTCATAGGGTTTCTGGTGCTATTACAGGAGACAAAGAATTGCTTATCAAAGTGTCTGGCACATAGCAAGGGACCCCAAAGTGGTAACTTCTATTGCTAGCACTTCCTCTGCCTTGGAGCGGCAGCCCTGGGTGCCCAGAGCTTGGAGTCCAGGGTAGAGGTTGCACGAAGCCCACGTGCGTTCTGAAGGAGCACGGCTTTCTCTCGTCCCTCTTTGCAGCTTATGCTGCCATACTGCAGAGCACGGCATTCTCCGTTCCAGCCCTGCGCTTCTCAGACAATTCTGAAGGAGGAGTTCTGGAGGCTAATTTCCTCTCCTTTTGGAGGTTTCCCTCGACTGGAGCAGATTGCAGGACTGAGGGGAACGGCCAGAGAGCAGGAATGGTAAAATGCATGTGGGGTGATTTACTCCTCTGAAGAGGTAACCAAGACTGTCTTCAGCAGGTGATTAATAAACAGTTTGGTGAATTAAAGGGCTATTACCACGTCCCAAGGAACCTGAAAGCTCAAGCAAAGGTGGTATAACACTTAAAATTAATTAACAATCATAACAAAGGTGGGCCGTATTTTAGTCTCTTAGTGTGATTGAATAAATATTTACAATTTGCCAAAGTGTATCTCCTAGCCTATCAATCAAGATTCCTCATCAATCTACTTGTTAAAGACGTTATTTTGACAGACTGTGCAGTAACATCCAAAGCACTGATTTAGCTGTGACTAACACTTCATGCCTGATAGTTTTGGTTACGTTGGAGGCAATATCATGGAAAAATAAATTATGATCATTCTGAATCCATGTTGAGTATTTTTATTAAGTATAAGGTCCACATTCTGGGGAAATATGGATGAGAAAAGGGATAAGTACAGGAAAGAGAAAACTATGCCCTACCTTTCTTGATTTAAAAAAATTAACAAAATCAAAAAGCAATGAAAAAAAAAAGAACTCAAAAAAATGGTAAGAAAAAAACCCAAAAGCCAAAAGAAAAGGAAAAAATTAAGAGTATGTGATACTTATATTGTTAGCTATAATCATAACAAATTACATTTGTTTTTTAAATGACTATAGTGCCTGCCAGTCAACAATAACGTCCCTCAATTCAGTCACTGCAAATAGTGCCTTGATAATAATATTTCACGTGTTAAATTTCACAATTTAAATTTACCAGTGAAAGCTCATTTTCAGTCAACATGTTCACATAGTTAAGATCATAATCAAGTTATAGGATCAACCTTAAATGTAAATTCTCTGTATTTGACTTATATATCTTAAATTTTCTGTTACTTGTTTCTTGTTTTGGTTTTTAGCTGTATTGTAACTGTCTTGATTCTTTTCTTATCTCCATATTGTATCATAATGACATGGAAAGATAATATCTAAAGATAATTTTCAAGGCTGAGGGTCTTTTACTCATTATAAAGTCTTCCATGTTTTGATACTTGCCAAGTATCATAGGTTAGCTAATTCTTGAAGGTTCAAGGAAATAGCCACAAACTGTGAGTTGGGCATCACTGAGGGCTTCTCATGCCTCCTGAATCTAGATCCTGCCTTCAACATGATATCAAGAGGTAGCATCAGTGTCTGGCATGAGATGTGTCAGTTTCCCCTCTAGAATCAATGGACAGACATGTAACTATGCGGAGTTAGAGACTTTTGTGTATTTTACTTAATTCTTTGAACCACCCCCATAAGGTCAGTATAATTATCTTCATTTTATTGATTTAACAGATGGAGAAACAGGCTCAAAGAATTTAACTGAATAGCCTACCTACACAATTGGCAAAATCACGTGGGCAAGCCATTCAATCTCTATTTTCTCACTCTGGATCTAGTGCTTACCATACCCTATCACTTTAGCCACAAGTCTCACTTTTTATTCTTGGGGGATGGCACCTACCAGTGCTTCATATTATAGTCCTGCCTTTGCCTATGGGCTGATTCATTCATATATTTATTCATTCATTCATTCCACAAATGTATATGAGCCGCTACTAGGTTCTAGGCATTCTGCTAGCCAATGGGGATACAGTCATGAATAAGAGATACATGGTTCTTGCCAGTGTGAAGTCTATTTTTTAGTGGGAAATCAAACACCAAATAAGGAGATGTCACATGAGCTGAGTGATGCTAAGGCATTGGGGCAGGGAGTGAGATTCTGTAAGGGAAGGATCTAGCTCAGGTTATCCTTGAAAAGGCTCCTATCATGACTCTGTCCTGTCATTGTGTCACATTCGCAGAAATATCAGTCTGACTTCCAAAAATAATAACAAATCAATTAAAATTTAGTACAGTTTCATGACAAAATGCCAAAGAGGAATTTCCAACATAGCATGGTATGAATAACATTTATTAAGTATATACTATGTGTGAAGCACAGCTCCTGCATGGGGTAGAAACTATTAATGCCCCTGTTCTATAGGTAAGGACACTGAGCCCCAGGGAGATAAGGTAACCAAGCTGTAACCAATCCAGCTGCTTCTGTACCTCACTTCTGTTTTCTGCATGTCACTTTCCTTTTTCTGTTCCTAAATCCTTCCTGACCTCACAGTAGTGCTGGAGTATCTCTGAACCTATTCTGCTTCAGGGCCCTGCCTGATTCATGAATCATTCTTTGCTCTATTAAACGCTGTTAAATTTAATTTGTTTAAAGTTTTTCTTTTAACAGTAATCTCTAAAGTTTGTCTTTTAGCAGTAGTTATTGTCAGAATTGAATTATGGTAAACTCAGTGGGGTGGAGCTGGAACAGAAGCCATGGAAATGGCTATTGTAATGAGAGAACATTTGGGGGGGGGACTGTTTAAAGCCACAGGAACTGGAAACCTTCTCTATGGAAAGCCTTCGTGTTTGGCTACCTCTGATGCTTACCAGGAAGGGGGTGTGGTGGGAGGGAGAGAAGGTGCCATGGAGAGGGGGTGGTCCTGGTGTTTTTTTTTTATTTTGTCATATTATGGGGGTACAGATTTTAAGGTTTCAATAAATGCCCTTTCCTCCCTCCCCCCACAAGTCTGAGTCTCCAGCATGACCATCCCCTAGATGGTGCACATCTCACTCATTATGTATGTATATACCCATCCCCCTTCCCCCTCCCACCTGCCCAATACCCTATTACTGTAGTACCTATGTGTCCACTTAGGCGCTGCTCAGTTAATACCAGTTTGCTGGTGAGCATATGTGGTACTTGTTTTTCCATTCTTGGGATATTTGACTTAGTAGTATCTCCTGGTCCTGGTGTTTTAAT